GTATTTTTGCTGACCTTTCAGCCCATATTTTTAGAAAAAGGGAAGTTAGACATTAAGCATTTGTTTCCAAAATTCATTGAGTTAAGCAGTGACTTATTTTTTTCTTTTACATTGARCAAGTAAACATTGAAGTATATTTTTTTGTCAGTATTAGATTATACATGGTTCTGAGTTTTCCTGCAGCTCTCTGAACCCTGACTTAGTGATTTTCCTGTTGTTTGGTTTCCTGTCAGTACTGCTTGTAAAACTGAGGGGGATTTCTGGGGATGGTTGTTTAATTCCCCCATTTTCTGGAGAGCCATAAGCTTACCTTGCCCGTTGGATATTCACTTTGTGTATCCAGGCATTCCCTCACAGAAAGCAGCACAACTTTCTAACTTTCAGAGGAAGCAACATGGGTGTTCAGGGTTATGGGGTRGAAAAGTTTGGTGGGCTGTGACTTTGCTTCTTTGTGGAGGAGAAGTCACAGCTCTGCCTCCTTTACTGCCCGTGACAGAGGTCTACAGTTGCTTATGGGACTTTGGGGATATGGTGAGGCCTTTTCTGTTGAATTTCTGTGTAATTCCAAACAGTGTGAACTTTTCAAATCGCTTGAGAAGTGCCCCAGATGGTGTGACATTCTGCTTCATGGGAAGATTTGAAAGTATTCCCTTTGCATACTCTCTGGTTAACTATTTCATTACGTTTGAAATGGGAGAACACCAAAGCCAAGAACTCTGTTGACATTTTGGTGGTGTTTGCTTAACCTCCTAGTGCACAGGCTACATTTGTTGAAAAATATTATTCTTACCTTTGCAAATCATCAGTAATTAATTCCCTTGGAAATATCTACTGCTGCACACAGCCAGCTTGGGAGGCTGCTGACAGATCATAGTTTTACATCAGGTGCTAACAAATTGATTATTAAATTTCATAACTAACTGATTTATAGCAACAATTTAATTTCTGCCTCTCTCTAATGTATTCATTCCCYGTATTTTCAAACAGTGCAGAGGAGTTGGGTTGCTTAGCTGCTTCTAATGGTGAATTGTGCACAGCATGTGAGATCTGAATGACTTCCCCAGTGCAAAGGTTAGTCAGGTATCACAGGCACAGAATATCAGCTGCATTTCAGCTCAGACACTCGCATTTAAGATTATCCTGGCTGATTCTACACGCTTTTTAAACTTTTTAAACCTTTTCAACTAATTGTAGCCATGCTTAGCAGCAYGGTGAGGGTTTTCTGGGATTGCTGTGTCCCTTGCAGTTGGAGCAGCGCATTCCTGAGTGTCAGTCACACTGAAGGGTCAGAACAGTGACCACTTGACCATCTRATGGAGCACATCACCTTCAGTCCCAGTGCCCACCTGAATGGCACTGGTGGCCCACGTTACCTCCCTTGGTGTGGTGTTAAGTCACTGCCTGAAGACATTTTAAGGAGGCAGAGAGGCAAATTTTCAYGATACTCTGCAGTGTTTCCAAAAATATCTAACGGGCCTCATGGTTAGARGGAGCACTTGGTCATGTTGCTAGCAGGAGTAAACACTATGGAAAATTTCCTTTGCTGCTGACATCCTTTGTTGGCCTGAGCTGTGCCTTTGATGTAGAATTACAAACTATTTTAAACCGAGGGGGGATTTTTTTTTTCCTTGGGCTCAGGAGGGCGCCTCATGTAGATTGCAGCAATGTTTTTAATGAACTTGTGAAATCAAGGTCACAGCTCTGCYACCACTTGAAAATACTCCTGTCATAAAGCAAAGCTGCAGTGCCAGATGTGTGGTGTGAATTGTCACGTACCTTAAAAATTTTGTCCCTGCATAATGATACGTTCAGTGACACAGAGCTCTGCACCATTGAGATTAGAATCTGTCATCTGTGGCTGAAATTCATAACTGCRCCGTGGCTGTTACCCAGGTAATCTCATTCATTTCCTGGTGTGCAAATGGCCAGGTCACAAAAACTTCGATGACAATTTTCAGTAATTGGACCTTTGTTAGCAGTCTGATGAGAGACACCGATAGCTTAATGGACGTGGATCCAAATCAGAGAGGTGGCTTTTTGCTGAGCTGAAATCAAGCACAACATTCACACAACCCTTTAGCTTCCTTTTCTGTGGAGCTTTCTAGAAAAAAAAAAAATCCCTTTTTATTAAGCATTTAAAACCRTGAGTGCTGATTAAAAGTAAAGGAATTCTAAAAGGGAATTTGATACCACCTTTTCAGTATGGTAATTGTTTAAAATGTTTCTGTATTTATTTTTATATTTCTTCACAGATCTTTTTAGTAGAACGTTGTAAATAATGTTAATTTTACAGTCTCTTAAATTTGAATTGCTTTTACTTTGAGAAAATGAGAGATGTGCTTTGAAAAATACAAATCTCATAAAATGGACAGAAGCATAATTTTATTTCTTTTATAAAATCCAATTAAATGACCCAACAATTWAAAAATTACTACATTTTATAGTTTTATAATTCCAGAATCTTCTTTTTAATTAATTGAGGTGACAGATTTAGGTATGGAGTGCRTATTTCCCCTCTGGTAGTTATTGTGTAATTGCTAATAATGAAGGATACTACAGTTTGGATAGGTGGAATATGGTTTTGGTTCATATGCRAATCCTTTCTGTCTCTGATTTGTTACCTCATAGTGCAAATTACAATTACCAAATAGAATTGTAATCTTTAAAGAAGTGTCGTATTTGTTTTGTAGGGAATGATGATGGTATTTTCTGTATTGCTGCTGCATTCATGTGCTGCAGTTCTCATACAGGAGGCTCTTATACCAAAAATTGCATCCATGCTGGAGAAACTTGTTCCTTTTTCACAGCAGATGTACAAATCTGTAAATTAATTCTTGCTAGGGCTTTTCATAAAGTCTCAGAAGAGCTGATGAATCATCCCAAGTTCCATGCCCTCTCAAGCTTCAAGCAGCTTTGTTTTCCTCTTGGCAGATGCCTCTCAAAACAGGCGAAATGAACTCTGGTTTGAATAATTTTGATTTTAAAAAAGCCTCAAAAGTTTGATTGCCTTCTAAAGAATATGATCCTGCACACTCAGTGAATATCCTGCTTGTGCTGTGTTGAGTGAGGCTGCAAAGATCAAACAAAGATTTGCCTTTTTTGTCATTTGGTTTGAACAGAAAGAGGGAACTTTGCCTTCATAGGGAGAGTCCCCCTTTATCTTCAGTTTCTGTTGTGGCTGCAGTGTGTGCATGCAGATATTCTGTGTATGGGTGTCACTGACCAAAAACCAAATCAGAAATCCAGCACTTCAGGAACTGAGCCTCTCAGATGCACAGGTGTTTCACTCTGCTTCTGGAGATTTTGGTTAAAATTTTCCAGGTTGGCAAAGGAACAGATATTAGATTGTTACACTGCACTGGTAACTTCCCAATTGGCTGGAAGTAGAAATTTATTTTAATAAGAAAATACAGCCTTCTATTTATGTCAATCCTTATGCATTTCTTTCAGTATTCAGCTAAGGTATGTTTGATTCCCCTGAAATGTTTCTTTTTTATTTCTTTTTTTTTTTT